GTTGGTAATGAACGACAATACTTAGGAAAAGTACAAAACATATAAGATTTGCCAGCGGCGCGTAGAAATAGTAGTCAACTGATAGAAGTGAGTGCAGTGAATTCTACAATGAATTTCCAACTACAGACGGTATCTACCAACTGCCCCACGCAGTCTGATGTGGCACAAGGCCGAATTTAATCTGTGGTTCCTGATCCAGTAGGCTCGGCTAGAAATTTCCTGTAGACCCCGTATAAAACCGGGTAGGTGTTTCCTGGGACGAGATTGACATAGCTCCGTCTGAGGATGCTCTTTGGCTTGGGGCTGAGAGCTTACCAGCACAGCTGATGGCGAATCGCCGACTGTAGAGGGTATTTACCAACTGCTTCACGTGTGTCAGATGTGGAACTAGGCCGAATTTAATGTGGGGTATCCGAGCCCGTAGTCTCAGTCGAAAATTCCCCGTAGACCCTGTATGAAAACGGGGTTGGGTAGATGTTTGCAGAGACGAGACTCTGCACTTCGACATAGCCTCGTTTGGGGATGCTGTCTGCCCGGAGGCTGAGAGCTTAACAAGCCCAGCTGAAGAACGAATATCCAACTGTAGGCCGGGCGACACATAGATTATTCACTACTGTATTTATGGGACTGGGAAGTTAGAGAGAAGAAACATTTTAAATAGAAGAGACGGTTACAATTAACTGTTTCGACAGTGAAAGTGTGGGACCCAGATGCTCACCGAGTAGAATGCTTAAGATGGGGTACCAGTGAAAATAGCTCGTCAGAGCACTTTCCATAAAAATATTTGTAGAAAAGACAGAGGGAAGCTACATCACGTTTGTGAGAATGTTACTAGAGACGAGATGCCAGAACAGGACCTATCACATTGCATATCCGTCTCTGGATTTTGTCAAGAACCTCGAGATGAACAGCGGGACCACTAGACCATATATGACACTAGTATTCAGTTCAAGGACGAATGGCTGACTTGTAGATTTGAAGGATGAACGCAGGAGAAAAAAAAACAACTTTCCTTGCGGTAAATGAAGCTATTGATTCAGTGTAGTTTTCCACCTCAGGTAAGTGAAAAACAAGAGAACAAGATTGAAATCACAACTCTTTGGACAAGTCACTGGATTCGACCAATGCGTTTATCCACTGGGCGATTTGTCTTTGAAGACATCAGTGTTTGAATTTCAGCTGTCTGATTTTTTCATCTCGGCTAACAGCTTTACGATATTCTTGAAGTATAACATCAAGAGGGCCGCATGCTTCTTTATATTTTTACCATATCTGCACGGGATGGCGTGTGCACACTGTTCTTAGTCATGACTTCCTCTATGGGGATTCTGAATTGAAAGAGATGTCTACAAATTATTGAATATCTTTATTGACCTCATGCTATATGGACCACAGATTTGTGTGTATATTTTCCGATAATCCCTTCACATAGGGTAGGGAGACCCAAACTTTTCTGGGATTTTTATCCTCTGCTACCCTTCTATCCCAGTTTATCGGACAGGGTGTCATATACCCAGTTCAACTTGTACGTTATCATTATTTCAATATTCACAGCGTTTCAGCCGTTTTAAGCTACAGCCTTCTTCAGGTGATATACGTTGGAATTTCGGGATATCCCCGTTGCAGATAATTCCCTTTATTAACTCTGTTCTTTATTTATGGATTTCCCTATTGTGTAATTTATATACTCTGTTATATTTTTGTGGATAAGTTTTAATATTTTATATCATTAGCACCCACTTAGATTTTTTGGATATATATTTTTATATATATATATATATATATATATATATATATATATATATATATATATATGAAAATATAGATATAAACTACCCTGTAATTATGGCTTAAAGTGATCAATAATTTTGCTTATATTTTTCGTGCTAGAATGTATATATATATATATATATATATATATATATATATATATATATATATATATATAAGAAAGAGAGAGAGTTCATCTGGGTTGAATAAGACTGACATACTCGGCGTCAGTTGAAATGGACTATACACATGAGGTATTTCTCTGTTGTGTTATTCATATGCTCTGTTATAATAAATACATTGAGCTGTTTTTGTGGATCAGTTTAAATACGTAGACTATATATATATATATATATATATTTATATATATATATATATATATATATATATATATATATATGAGGTAACATTGACGTCTTAACTCAGAGGACACAGGCTTTCTCATCCGAGACATAATCGTCAAGCCGCCTGACGATTGCGTCGAGCATGAAACAACCTGTCGCCTCTGAGTGTTGACTTTAATATTCACTTTTATATTTACACACGCTCTATCTCTTATATTGAGCACTTCCTCCCATAAATATAACAAAACTTAAAACTATATTTCCGCATATATATATATATATATATATATATATATATATATATATATATATATATATATATATATATTGGTGTGTGCGTGTATTTGTTAAGGATTACAAAATAGATTTTATTCATTTTTGAACAAGCACTGTAATTTACCAATCTCTTGACAAGTGTCAGGACTACTCGAGAAGTGAATTTTTCATCATGTAACATTGAACATTAAGAAGGACCTATATTTACACCGAGAAGCCAGAACACCTTGTGCAGACTCTTTCCGTGAGGATTCGTACTCAAATTTGAACTGATCATATTCCGACAGTCATTTGAAAGTCCGCGAGATATGTTATTAAATTGAGATAACCATCTTCAAGAACACAAAAGTATTGGTGGTTTGCACTTAGTGTTTAGATATATATGTTTCAATAGATTATTCATAGGGTCGAATTATCTTTTCTCCTGTTTCCCCTTTTTTAATCGGTGTACATAAAACTTTCATTTCGTCGATCGAGTGAATAGCGATAACTGGTTAGCTATTATATTTTTTCTTTACATTTTTTCCTTCTTTTCCAACTAACGTTGTCATGGTTCCTTCGTTGTCGTTTTATTATGCCTTTTTTATTGCATTCATTTTCTATATTTAATTTGATGCTTTTGGGTTATCTGTCACCCCACTTTACCTTCGACAGTTGGCTAGGATATAAGATAACCGTGTTGGTGGAGGCTGGCTTCAAGGTTAATCATCGATACAATTTCGTTGATGCAGATATCGGTCGCCACACTCAGAACATCGAACTTTTGTGAGGATCATCAAAGTGCAAGGAACAAGCCTCACCAAGGAAATGCATGAAAGCAGTTAGACCTACCTGCCGAGTGCAACGACCCTGATGGAGTCGAACTATTAGACGCCATTCTGTAGCCTATCACCGCGTTCATGCCACGTAAATAATACGATTAATATTTGTTATTTGGAGAAATAAATTAAGAAACAAATAATATATATTTACACATCTGTATTTGTGAAAATGTTGTAAATTTAATTTATATAGTAGCGACGGTTAAAGCCCAAATATCTTTATTTTATATTATTATATATATATAAATAACATAACATTTATAAGCAGTAAATTCAACCTTGCCAACCGAACGATCCTTTGTGGCCGAGCGGTCAAGGCTCGTCATCGTAAATGACGGTTCCATATAGGATGCAGGTTCGAATCCTGTCAAAGAATGAATATTTTCTATGAAAATTTCTCGGACATTCAGGCCGGTAAATGTTATTTAATACTGTTTATTATAAACAGAGCATTTCTATAAAAAAAAGAACGTTAAACATAAAAATGTCTTTAATAAATAAATTGTCGGACTTTGTCCATTTCTTAGTATATATATATATATCAATTGTGTATATTTAGGCACCAATTTTTCATTAATGCATGTTTCATTAAATACTATAGTCAAGTTTTGTCTATTTATTTTATGTAAGTTCCTTTCATATTGTCTGATAAGCTTAATCACATTGCTTCCGCCTCTCGTATACACGAGTTTGTCGTTGCTTTGAAATTTTTCATGCAGCAAGGGCGGACTGTCATTGTTGTTTCGTCTGTGGGTTGTTTGATATATTGAAATTGTCATCTTTGATAATGGCTTATGTAATCTATCAATATGGTATTTTCCTTTCGTCTTTCAATGATAATGTGATTTAGTTTATCAGACAATATGAAAGGAATTTACTTAAAATTAATAGACCCAACCTGCCTATATTATTTAATGAAACATGCATTAATATATATATATATATATATATATATATATATATATATATATATATATATATATTACCCAAGATCCTAATGTACAGCCAGTTAGATCAGGTCTACAGGAATGTAGGACGCCCATGGCTAAGATACAAAGACAAGCTTAATAGCAACTTCTCAGCAGTCAATATACCACATAACACCCTTGAGCGCTTAGCCTTGGAGCGGGTAGTATAGAGATCAACCTGTTTTAGTGAACTCAGTAGTTTTCAATCTGCTTGTCTGAATCATCTTCAAGAAGCGAGACCAAGATCTAAAAGGTCAGCCAATTTAATATGTGGTCTCCTTTGTAAATCACTAGTGGGTCTTAAATGCCACTTAAGTTTATCGCACAAAATTTCATAACTGAATCAACTAAGCTCTCAGATCCTCATATGTCGAAACCGACGGGAGAGAGTCCATTATTATTAATATTATTATATATATGGATTATTACTCATTTCTCATGAGTTATATTTTAACATCTTTTCTTTTTTTCAAATCATTATTTTTCGTCTTATATTTTTAGTTTTACTAAAATATCCTTTATTGGTATTTCTGTTTTTATTCCAGTTCCTTCTTATTTTTCATTAATTCTGTTTAATTATTTTTCAACCCTTATGTTTATTTTAGCGTTGGAAACCAGGCGAAAATAAGACAAGAACTAATTAACTGATTCTTTTAAATGTAATTAAAGAAATTAAACCTATAAAAAAAGAAAAATCTCAGAACTACTAAAAACAAAATGATATAACAAAAAAGAAACAAAAATATTACAAAAAAAACAAAAACAAAGAGAAACGAAAAATCAACAGAAAGAAAGGTGCAACACATCTCAGGTTAATCTGAATGCTTCTTCACAATGAAATAACCTTCTTTCTGGGTTCATTATTTGTTCAATAACATCTTCAGATTTCCTTTTGATTTACTGAAAATGAAATCCCAGTTTAGCACATAGTTTGACTTACACACCGGAGAGAAGACAACGAAAAGAAAATAATTACGCAGTAATTTCGAAATAACTAAAGTTTAACAAAGGAAGAAACAAATATAAAACTGTTTTTTTTTTCTTTCCATTTTCATGGCCGCCGACTTTTGCACACGTCCCTGTATATCCGAAGGGTCAGCCCAGAAGTCCGGGAAGTAACAATGTGGTTCTAATTAATTAAGAGAGAAAAGACATAAAAGTTTTCTTCTCTTGTTTCTCTGTTCGGACACAGTGAATGAAAATACTTTTAAAATTACAAAAAATGTTTTCTTTACTTTATTCATTAGTTTTTATTTTATCATCTTTTTTTTTTCAAATTGTACCTCCCTTCTTTTTGAAAGAATTCTACAAGCATTAATTTTTCTTATTTAATTATTTCTTTTACTTGTAATTTTTTTTATCTTTACTTTTATTTTTATGAGTAAGCTTCGTAGTCAAGTCTTTGGTCTTGCGAATAATTTCTAATCATCCTGTCTCCATCTTTTTTTTTTTCTTTTCTTCTTGTAGACATTAGTTTCATCTCCTTTTACCCTGTATTCATTTACTTACACTAGTTTTCTATTTGGTATTATTTCTTTATCTTTTTTTCTTTTTCATCAGGTTTTCTGTGTTTCTTCCTTTGTTTCTTTCCTAGTTTCTTTGTCGCTTGCTTTGTTTCTTTCCTTGTTTCTTTGTCTCTTGCTTTGTTTCTTTCCTTGTTTCTTTGTCGCTTGCTTTGTTTCTTTCCTTGTTTCTTTGTCTCTTGCTTTGTTTCTTTCCTTGTTTCTTTGTCGCTTGCTTTGTTTCTTTCCTAGTTTCTTTGTCTCTTGCTTTGTTTCTTTCCTTGATTCTTTGTCTCTTGCTTTGTTTCTTTCGTTGTTTCTTTGTCTCTTGCTTTGTTTCTTTCCTTGTTTCTTTGTATCTTGCTTTGTTTCTTTCCTTGTTTCTTTGTCTCTTGCTTTGTTTCTTTCCTTGTTTCTTTGTCTCTTGCTTTGTTTCTTTCCTTGTTTCTTTGTCTCTTGCTTTGTTTCTTTCCTTGTTTCTTTGTCTCTTGCTTTGTTTCTTTCCTTGTTTCTTTGTCGCTTGCTTTGTTTCTTTACTTGTTTCGTATTTTCTTCCCTTGTTTCTTTCATTGTTAATTTGTTACTTTGTTAGTTTCTTCTATTCTTACTATTTTAACAGTTTTTCTTAAATGTCTTCATTTAGATTGTTTTATTCTCGTCTACTTAAACCATTATTTCTTCCTTCTGTCGTGCTTTGTACACAGTTGCCTTCATTGTTATGTGATTTTGCTCAGTAAGAGTTTAATTTATATGCAAATAAAAGCCAGCTTCCCTGAATATATAGTTCATTGAATTGTCAAATTTGAAAAATATTAGAAATTAAAGTTAATTCGAACGTAATTAAAACAAATTAAAAAAAAAAAAACATTGGATGCTTTTAAAAGACAATTTATTTTATTGCATAGTTAGATAAGTTGGTTGATTTTGTTTAGCCGCATATCAATCTCTATGGTGTTTTATACTGAAATGTAAATATTATGAACGCAATTTTATGGCTTCAAATAAATATATTTTGAATTCCATTGTATGCCTTCAATTGTAGACAAATTGTATTGTTGGCCATTTTGTTATAAAATGTATTGTCGATAAGTCTACTATAAAATGTATCGATTGTTCTTTTACTATAAATAGCTATTGTTTGTAATTTTACTATAAATATGTATTGTTGGTAGTTTTTATATACAAATGTATTGCATGTATTTTTACTATAAAAATGCATTTTTTTATACGTTCATAGTGTTTTGATTCTTGTTTGGAGTTCACTATTTGCTCATAGCTTGAGCCTTAACAGGTGCTACCACCTAGGGTCAGGGTGGATCTAGCAGCAACAGTAATTAAGAGCTGGTGCCACGCGCCTCAAAACCTCCAATCTCCCAATCAGTGAAATCCATGGAATTAGATAGATAGATAGATAGATAGATAGATAGATAGATAGATCATAGTATCTATTTCCAGCTTCCTTCAATAGGAACATATCTCAAAACTTCGTCACCTGTGAAGAAATTGTCTTATATTTACAGACATTTAGGCGAGTTAAAATTCCGCATTCTGTCTTTGTTTCTAATGATTTTTTTCCTGTGCTTTAATAGTTTCTTTAATATTTGTAAAGCATCTTTCACTGGTCTAATGCTCTTTCGAATTTCTATGTCTCATTCTCCATTGTCTTTTATGACTCTTACCGAAAACTTAAGTTACCGTACCTGTTTAAATCTGATATGTTAAATCATAGCTTGCCTTTTGGGCTGGTACTAGTATATTATAATCTGTATATCCTAATGTAAAAAGACGGACCGTATCTTCAGTTGTCCAGGTGTAATGGTTCTATCAATTATTTTATATCATTCATTTAAAAATAAATTATATGTTATCTTTATATAATTTCTCAAGAATTAAACTATTTTTTACTCATTTCCCTACAAGTAAATCAATAAAGAAATAATCAGTGACGAAAAATAAAATAACAGAATTCAGGGATTCACAATTTATGGTTGACATTGCATTTACATTTTTGATATTCGTAGTTGACAGGAAAGCGGGAAGAGAATTCAACAAGCGGAAAGTACAGTAGAAGGATATTTTAGCATATAACTTACAATTTTAATAGTGAAACTATGAGACCTAATAATAATTTTAGCATATAACTTACAATTTTAATAGTGGAACAATGAGACCTAATAATAATTTTAGCATATAACTTACAATTTTAATAGTGGAACTATGAGACCTAATAATAATTTTAGCATATAACTTACAATTTTAATAGTGGAACTATGAGACCTAATAATAATTTTAGCATATAACTTACAATTTTAATAGTGGAACAATGAGATATAATAATAATTTTAGCATATAACTTACAATTTTAATAATGGAACTATGAGACCTAATACTGCGCTTAAATTCTTGAAGTCGCTGAATCAATGAAAAAATTTCATCAGAACAATTACGATTAAAATAGTTATATAAAAAGTCAAAATAATGCTATGTTACCGTCGTGAGAAAATCAAAGAAGTCGCGATGCCAGGCCAGGACTGATCAGCTTGCAGATTCTTTGGACTGGAGGTATAAAACAGAAGCACCAGACCAAAGGTGGCAGCAATTTTCACTATATATATATATATATATATATAAGTTTTATAGTGTCATTCAGAATTTCTTATAATTAATTGGGGAAATAAGATAATTTATGTAATTATTATATGTGAATGCTTTATAATCAAAAGTGATTTTAACATGCCAGTTGCTTCCTTTATTGTTATTCATTCTTTCTCCAAGAGCAATAGTGTGAAGAAAATGGATTACCCCTTATTTGAAATATATACTTTCTTTCAACATACAGTCAGATTAAGTCCCACTGGAGTGGCAGTGTGTAATCGATTTTTATTATTTTTTCCTCAGATTACTTCATTTGCAGTAGTGGGTAGTAATATGAATCTGTTTTCGGGGTGTATGATGAAATTTGTTTAGCCTTGAAAAATTCTTGAGTGTATCAGATTTTTATCACGCCCAGATACTATTGTCTCAACTGTCGATTATTTGTCCTACGTCCTTTGTCTGCGATGGATGTTACTCAAAGGAAGCTTACAAAAATTGTAACGCTGCACGGACACAATGGCAAGACTTACCAGGGAGCAAATGTACTATAGACTGGACTGAAAAAAAATCCTGATTTAAATTCAATTGGAAATCTGTGGTCAATCTGCAAGGAAAAACTTCATAGCATAGACATACGACGTACTAAGCCGCCCGGGGTAAGACTTTAAACAACATCCGCGTCCTGGGTAAGACGTTAAACGATTTCCAGCAGCAAGGACTCTGATCAAGAGGTTTTGAGAAGCGTGGAACCACCTCTTAATTGCTGTTGTTGTCAGGTTCACCTTGACCGGGTGTGGTAGCAAATAATGGACAAATAGTTAACTATTTCCATCAACACTTTTTTGAAACAAATTATTACCAGCAATACAATTGTGAAGGAAAGTTATTACCAAAAACAGATTTTTCACACAACAAAATATTACCAGCAATAAAAAATTTTGTCGCCATTGAGGTTGATATACCGTAAAACTAAATAAACCAAACCAATCTAAACCAAAGAATACATATTCTATTCATACGAATCTATCCTAAAATGTTGTTGGCATTAAATAACCTATGGAGGTTGATATGCCGTTAAACAAAATAAACCAATCAATCTAAACCAAAAACCAATCTATTCCAAAGAATTAAATAACCCATTATTCTATTAAACCAAACCAATCTAAACCAAAAGAATACATATTCTATTCATACGAATCTACCCTAAAAATGTTGTTGGCATTAAATAACCTATTGAGGTTGATATGCTGTTAAACAAAATAAACCAAACCAATCTAAACCAAAGAATACATATTCTATTCATACGAATCTACCCTAAAAATGTTGTTGGCATTAAATAACCCATTGAGGTTGATATGCCGTTAAACAAAATAAACCAATCCAACCTAAACCAAAGAATACATATTCTATTCATACGAATCTATCCTAAAAATGTTGTTGGCATTAAATAACCCATTGAGGTTGATATCCCGTAAAACAAAATAAACCAATCCAATCTAAACCAAAGAATACATATTCTATTCATACAAATCTATCCTAAAAATGTTGTTGGCATTAAATAACCCATTGAGGTTGATATGCCGTAAAATAAAATAAACATAACCACGCGAAGTGCTAACCTATGCACTGGGTCATTTACGTCAGGAAACGAAAAAAAAAATAATAGCGAAACTATTCGTTTTGTTTCAATTAACTTGCACAAGGGAGTAGTAGATTCCGTAGGTTTCTCCCTGCGTCTCCCAACCCCCCAAAAAAAAAACAATGTTATCTGCATATCTTATGAATCTAGCAATCGTATTTGCTTTTGACATCAATATATTAACATCCCTGAATTATCTGGTAAGGTCGACTCTGAACATTTTCAAATTTATTTAATAACACTAGGGTCAAACTTGTTCAACGAGGCACGGTCGACTTTACAAGCTTTCTAAAGTTTTCATTTTATTAAGTGCCTAGCATGTAAGCTTCATCTGTGAAATTTGCCAATTCTGGGACATCCATTCAGAAGTGAATTATCTGCTATAATCATATAATAAAAATTATATTATGAAAATTTCCTTTTGACGCGTACCCTGAAGCTTAACTTACTTTTTTTTATCACAAACTTTTAGTTCTTCAGCACACATTCACGATCGAATTCTATATTAACCATATTGTATGAGAAGATACGTTTCACCATTCCATTTGAACAAGTGCTGTATAGATTTACTAACATTTATTTTGTGAAAAGCCTACAAGTGTCGGAAGCCCGTGTAGGATGAACTTACTCGGGCTGGAAAAAGCACGGACCGTTTTATTTATTATTTAAATATACATGTGACACGTGTCCGGAATATGTAAATAATGTTTTTTTTTCTTTACAGAACTATATTTAGTTTATAAAAAGATCTCAAAGGCGAGGAGTCGATCTCGATAATCTCGATGTATTAAGCAACGTCTATTCGCCAAAGACGTAATCGTGACTTCCTTTGATCTGGAAATATTTAATAGATTTTTCCCGTGCAATGACGATATTCCCTGGTTCATGCGACAACCAATGTTGATGTTCCAATAACTACACAACTGAGAAAAATTATTGAAACCACCGCTTTAGTTTCCTTTCTTTCGACATAAGATCAGTTTTAGACTCGCTGGAATGACAGGGTGTAGTAGATTTTCTAATTTTTACTCAAATTAGGTCATTCGCAGTGGTGTAGAATAATATGAATCTATTTTGTTTGGCCTTGAAAAATATTGCGTCATCCGTGATTGCACGAGATTTTCATCATGCACAGATACTATTGTCTCTACTGTCGATTAGTTGTCCTACAGCCATTGTCTGCGATGGACGTTACTCCAAGTAAGAGTACGAAATTTGTAACGCTGCACGAACACACTGGCAAGCCATACCAGGAAACCAGTGGCCTAGAAACTCACCTGATCGGTGGTCAATCTGCAAGGAACGGCTTTGGGGAATAAACATACGTAGTACGAACATGTGCACTGGGTCATGTTTTTTTTTACGAAAATACGAAAAAGTAAATAATTACGGAATTATTCGTTTTCTTACTATCAATTTGCACAAGGGTGTCTATATGTGGAAAATAGTCATTCAGACAAGTATTGTTAAGGAAGCAGAAAATTATGTCTCTTCAATATTTTATAAGATTCTTTCGCGTGAATTAACTCCGTGTTTTAGCTTGGAATAGATAGAATCCTTCTTAGATTTATTCTGGCTTCATTATCAAGAAAAAATGGAATGGAAATCAAAGATTAAAAATTGTAAATCAAAGTTTGTGTGATAGTTTGCATCTTTTAAATTTTTAATTTTCACTTTTCAATGTTTGTGTTGTCGTGATCGTATTTTTGAGTTTTGAAACTGTGATGCCATTGTGACGTTCTATGAATTCTGAAAAAATAAATACGTTTTAGAATGACTTTTCCAGATTCATTATTGATTTTCTTAATTGTTCGTTGTTTTGACTTAACAAAACGTTAAACGTTGTTTACAATCTGCTTGACGGAAGGTTATTTTTACTCCCAATGAATTGTCTTACTGAGATCTTCATGTTGTTATATAGTATTTTATTATATACTATTGTGATATATATTATTTTGTTATATAGTATTGTGTAATATTGTATTTTCTTTGGAATAAATAGATGCAAAATACAATATACAATATTTTTTAATATATAGATACATGTGAGTGTGGCTGTCCTTCGATATATATATATATATATATATATATATATATATATATATATATATATATATATATATATATATATATATATATATATTAGTCAACGAATACGAATCCTTATGTATTACAGTTTATGGTGTACATGATGTAGACTGGTGTTTTGAGCGGAACTAATGATGACTTGTAATTTGATGCCATATTTCTTGGGTAGTTTCCCTCGTAGTTTGTGGTCGTATGTTCGAGGTTTTATGCACCTTTGGTGCCAAATCGGATAAATATATCATAATCATAAATCCTTGTTATATACGTGTTACTCATTCATTCGCTGATACTTCGGTGTGTGAGTGCGCCACATTTCTGGCTACTAAGACCATTCTGTGGATAAAATCTGTTAAATCCTGTTCTATTCTGTGGCTTTTACACCTTTATTATAAGTTTCGCTATCTGTTTACATATTACGTTGCACATACATTTTTTCAGCTAAAATCATTCTAATGTTATTGGTGTTGCCAGTATTCAGAATTTCAGTTTTTCAGTCTCCCTGTCAAACAGTGGATTTCTCACTCGTTTCCATGTTTCACCTCACATTTTTGCTTGATTTGTTCCTTACCTCCACTCCTAGCTCTTGTCGACCTTCACAAATCTATCCTCTTGACAAATTCGGATCACATGGTAGAATATGTTGATATTTCTTTTGAGTCGTCTATTAGAAAGAAATCTCCTATTTTTTTCTATTACCTGAGTACTGATTGGGAATCCCTTCGTGAATTTCTTTGAAAGGCCTCTTGGATTGATATTTTTAACCTTCCTATTGATAATTATTCTACAGATGTTTCTTATTGGTTTAATATTTTGCTACTATTATTTACGATTTCAGCAAATGCACAGATAGATAGATAGATAGATAGATAGATAGATAGATAGATGCGAGTTAATATTGAACATTCATCATCCGAATTCACTTTATGCTAATATTATTTACGATTTCAGGAAATGCAGATAGATAGATAGATAGATAGATAGATAGATAGATAGATAGATAGATAGATAGATGCGAGTTAATATTGAACATTCATCATCCGAATTCACTTCTAATATCTAGCAAGATATGCGACGTTTATTTTATAATCATTTTCTGAACAACTTCGAACGTTAAACATCTCCTTTCCTATCGTGAGTGACATAGAATGATAGAGACGAATCGATAAATATGTAGCCATTCATCATTTAATCTGGCCCTGACATTGAATTAATAACGCTCACACCTTTCCTTTCTGTAAGAAAAATATCAATAGTTATTCACCTCTGCTCTTTTTAACTGTTGAAGAGGCGACATGCCACTTATATTCACATGTGAATAGGAATGGGCGAGAAAAAAAAGAAGCAAATGGATAACTATAAAGAACGAATGGAAAATCAAATTTATGTTAGACGCGACCTCAGTGAGTGCAGTCAAAGCAAACGCTGGTGATATTCATTGGAAAAGAGAAAACGGTAAAATTCATATTTATTCAAGTTGTGCTTCAATGCTTCTATTTGTAAGTCTTCGATTCGTTCACTTTTCGGCGGGAATAAAAGGAAAGAAGGATAAAGAATAGACTACACTAGAACAAAAAAAATAAGTCATTTGACGGGAAACTATTTCTAAAATGTTATAACTAATACTAATTATTAGTCAAATAAAATAGTTGCACAAACACACAAACATAGATAGATAGATAGATAGATAGATAGATAGATAGATAGATAGATAGATAGATATGTAGGTAGGTTGAGTCAAAATTATGTTAACAGTAGTATGAGAGGAATCTCCACCTGTCCACCAGTAATTGGCACATATTTCTTTACAACTCCAACGATGACTGCAAATGCTTACTTACAAATGTTGCAAAATTTTGCCATTGATAACATACCCCTAAAAATCAGACGAGCTGGGCATTTCCAACAGGATTGTTCACCGGCTCATTTTGCCCGTACCGTTCGCGCTTGTCTTTCGATAGGTTGAGGCGTAACTTTGGCATTTGCCACCACACTCCCCGATCTGACACCCTGTAACTTCTGGTTATGGGGTATAATAAAGGATCGCTTTTATAACAAAAAAGTTGGAGACATCGAAGAATTCAAGGACAGAAGTTTTAATATAAAACATTTCTCGTGAAATGTGTGTCAAAGGCACTAGATTGTAGTGTTGATCGTTGGTTTTGTGCATCATTCGTGCTGGAGGACAGATGGAGACTGTCCAGTAATCTCTGAATAAAAGATTCCCCTCATACTAGTGTTAATATAATTTTTACCCGATATATATATATATATATATATATATATATATATATATATATATATATATATATATATACAATGAATCCTTCAAAAAGTAAATTAATAAAGTTAATGATATAAAATGGCGAAATCCCTTTGCTAACAAAATTTTAAAGATGCATTAACCTACAAATCACTCGATGAATGTTATGATCCTTGTTTTTAAAAGTTATAAGCTGTATAATGTCTTCTTAAATACGCGAGTACTTTCGACTGTACATTCAGTCATCGTCAGGCATGTATTTTTTTTTTTACAAACGTTAACGGATACAAAGTTGTGAAGAGTGCAGTCACAACGCTAAGGTTGATTTTTTTCAAAATTTAAATGAGTGCGTTTTTTTTTACTAATATGGCAATCTGAGAATTTTTTGTTGTAGAAGTTTATCAGTCAATATATATATATATATATATATATATATATATATATATATATATATATTGATCCTCTCCGCGGCCTGTTGATATGGTTCAGATTATCATTGATTGTTTTTTAAGAACGGATTATCAAGGTTTTGAATGTTATTTAAAACCAGAAAATGTTTTAGATTGAAATGTGTTTCTGATGGCAATAATTAATTACTGATTCATGAATTACAAATTAGAAAGGGAAAACATATATTCATATTTTCCGAACGGTATTTGCGCCTAAGAGAATATAAGAATATCAGAATCCAACTGAAATTGGAAATCGGTTCTGTGATTTCCATTTCTGATCCTTGTCCATTACACCACCTGCACATCCATTCTTGCAACAAATGTTATTCCCTCGCGGCCACCAGTGAAATTACTAACAAGGTTCGACGTTGTTTAACTTCAATGATCGTACAAGTACCTTTGTTTCATGATATGGTTCCTGAAGAATCTCACTTGTCTTCGAAATTATTGTCGCCTTATATTTTATTTAATTTAGATGTTGCTTTTCCACAATAAAACAAACATTCCTAACATCACTAGATTAAGTCACTAATTTTACTCGTGCATATATATATATAAGCTTCTATTAATTGTACTAGAATTAGGATAAATTCATTAAGCGAGTGTAACACCTGCTGCTAGTCATTGAGTGCAACATCGCGGTGAGATCCACTGTGTACATGTCTATAGCGACAACTACAAAGTGGGTAACTCTATGTTTAAGCAATGTTCATTCATCGATTTTTTGTTTACAACTTTATGTACATATATACGTATACATACGCAGACACGCATACAAAATATATATATATATATATATATATATATGTGTGTGTGTGTGTGTGTGTGTGTGTGAAAATGTGTATATATATATATATATATATATATATATATATATATATATATATATATAATTATTTATATATTATATGCGCGGTACTTATTAGAAAGCGCTCAATATCTGGAATAGACCTAACAATTGTGTATATTTAGGCAGCAATTTTTCATTAATGCATGTTTCATTAAATAATATAGACAAGTTTTGTCAATTTATTTTAAGTAGAGCAAAGGGATAAAATAATCCTAGAGTCATCTTACCCTAAAGTTTCATTTAGGTGAAATCTAGGTAGATAGTTCCTGGCTCTTGAGGATTATTTTATATATTATAATTTTTACACACGGACAAAAACAACTTACTCACTACAAAGATGCATTATTGTTTTGATGCAGTTGCATCTTGGCTGGTCAGAACCAAAACTGGTTATGAACAATTCTATTTACAAGGAAGCCGCTTATGGAGAATACATAGAGAGAAACACCTTAAGAGGAAATGGAGAATGGCAAAGAAAAGGGAGAAAAGAGAAGGAAAGAGAGAGGGTGACGGAGTAAGGCAATAGTATTTGTTGATAGCAGTTTGGACGGTTAAGGAATGTTGACCCGTTCAGACAAGGGCCTGACCGAAAAAACAAAGTAGAAGTTTTCGCTACAGCTTTTGATATCTATGCAAATTACGCCAAAACTCCCAAGAAAAATGAGAGAGAGAGAGAGAGAGAGAGAGAGAGAGAGGAGGGGGGGGACGGTGGAAATAGAAAAGAGGATGAAGGAAAATGGAGAAATAAGTTGGTATCATATTATTGTTGCTTTCATTACATTCGCATGGTGCAGTGGTGGAGGCTCTGACTGACGCCAAATCGGTTGGGTTTCGATCTAGGCTTGAGGATTCGGTTGTCTAGTCACATTGAGGAGTGCAAATGAATATATAATTTCAATTCAGCTATATATATATATATATATATATATATATATATATATAAAAGAAAAAGTATCTTTTGATAAATGAAAAAGAGCATTGCCAAAAATGACTGAAATAGCATGAAACAGATATTCGCCACTCGGTGTTGTCCTCAGTACCCACTAAAATATCTACGCAAGCTCTACTCGTGGTATTGACTATTTTTTTTTATCTATTGTATGTTTATATATATATATATATAATATATATATATATATATATATATATATATATATATATATATATATATATATATATATATATATATATATATATATATAAGTAAGCTGCAAATATTGCACGCACTGATTTGGAGAATACTGCCTTGGATCGCAAAGCTTGGAAAAGTGTAACTTACACTGGAATCAGGAATTTTTCGGCAGCAAACGTTGTCAAATAAGCCTCAAAGGGTGCCAAAGAAGAGTACCCTCTTTGCTCACACGCTTGCCCAATCTGTGGTTTTCTTTGAAAGTCATTAGCAGGTCTGAAATGTCACTCTAGATTCACGCATAAAGGTCATTAAAAAGTTGTCGGAACCTCATACGTCGAAATCGACGGGAGAGTCCATCATATATATAGATAGATAGAGAGAGAGAGAGACAGAGAGAGAGACAGACATTATATATATATCTATATATATATATATATATATATATATATATATATATATATAAGAGAGATAGTATATAAATATTTTTTACAGGTGGATGAGTTTATTATGTATTTGCTTTCAACTAGTATGTTACGGATACTTAGTTACATAACTTTACCCACGAACTTAGTCAAAAATCAAACTCCCATTCTTAGATGTTCTCTTAGAATATGCTAACATTTTTATCACCTCATTATATAAAAAAATCACTAAAAATGAATGTCCACACAGATACAAAATAGCAATAATAAAAAGAAACCTCTTCCTAAAAAGAGCACACCACAATTCATCCTCTCGACTACTCTTCCTTAAAGAACTCAATAATGTAAAACAGATACTAATTAACAATGGTTTCCCTAACCGCCTTATAGACCATTAAATTAGACTATCACACCCTAAAGTAAATAACAATGATAGCGAACATAAAGTAAAAAATTACATAAATATATTCTTCTGAAACAAGATGACAATTAACTACAAACAAGATCAATCTTCACTTAGAAATGTCAAAATAAATACACTACCCCAATTGACCCGAATAAAAAAATTCAAATTAATCATCTACTACAAAAAATTTAAAACAGCTAACCTTATTCTCAAAAATTACAACACACCAGCAAAGTTAAAATTAAACGAATGAACATTATCTATGAGTTCAAATGCCACTGTTCCGCATCAAATCGAATTCATAATTACATCGGTCACACGACTACATGCCTATCCAGATGCCTTACGTTACACCTATCTTACCAGAGTTCAATTAGAACACATTTAAACACACACAAACTTACCAGCCTCCATCCGTAACATATTACTTGAAAACACAAACAATAAGATCATCCACAAGTAAAAAAAAATTAAAAATAATGGAAGCCCTAATAATGATAAAAAAAAGCCAACACTTGACAATATTAACAACGAACAAAGCCATAATGTGTTTGGAAAATAAAACCACTCCATAAGACTAAAAACATATACACAACGCACACACTCAATTAAAATGAAAAAAAATGAAATCATCCTCGATAATGACTAAACGTATAGCCGAAAGCGCTCGGGATTATAGAACATTTGGACAGTTCCTGTGCACTTTGTGTCCCAAAAAGCTCTTGTGCAAACACAAGAAAAAATGAATTAAAAAGCTTAATATTTGTACATTGTCTGTCGTTTTTAATGTAACATGCATAAATGAAGGATCGCTGCCTAAATACACAATTATATATATATATATATATATATATATATATATATATATATATATATATATATATATGAAGAAATATAGCTTTAAGATGTGCTATATTTATAGAATAAAGTGCTCAATATCAGAGATAAAGCGTGTGTAAATATAAAAGTGAACATAGAAGTCAACACTTAGAGGCTAGGAGTATATATATATATATATATATATATATATATATATATATATATATATATATAAATAGAGAGAGAGGAGAGGGCAAGAGGTGTCATATCAACGCCACGTGTAAGCTAAATACACTTTATAAAATATGCAAAACAACTTAGTTTACTAGATGCGCAATAAGTGATGTGATTATTCAAGGGCCATTGTCTTCCTCGCCAGAACCAAGAACATTGATCAAACTTGTTAATGACAGCCATCCTTGATTAACGACCCGACCGCCATCACGACAGTTTTGAGAATCCATGTCTGGTGAGGTTTTATTTTCAATTTTCTTTTTTTGTTATTGATCTGGCAGTTGTAGGGCACCATTTGTCTTACCAGTCAAGCGCAAAGCTTATAACGGGCAGTTGCTGTTTTCTCTGTTTTTCCGCTGCGGTGAGGCAACGCTGGAGTGTCTTTTTTACGTCGCAGGGCTGGG